CTACTTGCAGCGCGCACCGCAAGGTCACCTGGCCGTTCCTATTCTGGGAGGAGAGGAAGGACAACATGCTTGGACTAAAAGTTGGAGGACCTACATTAGGCCAAGGAACGCGGTTTGACCTGCATGCCTGCCGATATTAATGTCGAGCAAATTAGCCTCGACAACGGCACAAAACCTCCTTACCGTAACCGAACTTTCTTTGGTCGACTAGGTGGCCAATTGAGAAGAAGCAGATGTGATCGCAGGGACACGAATTTTATTCGTCTGATCCATCATCAGAGACAATAGCAGAGACGGGTAATTCATACACAGGGATAGGATACCGTCACCATGCTACTGCATACCTATGACAATTAACGGCTCCCTCCCCCCCTATCGAAGATAGTTGCCGGCTTGTGTGCTAATTGCTTGGTGGCCGGCGTGCAGGTCTTGACCTGCGAAACTTTCATCGCGCATGCTAGGCTCGAGCTTGATGATTGCTCGACTATCTGGCTCCTTGCGATAGGCGCCAGACGACGTGTTCGCCCGTGCACTGCCCGAGTGGAGAATTGTTTTGGCCAAACTGAGCCTCAGCACCGAATATAGGTTTGAGCAGGTCGTTGCACTTGTTTATAGACTGGAGGCCCATGAACCGGAATTGAAGTAACTCGTGACTTGCGGGATTTTCACCTCTCGTGAGAATTTTGGCCTCCACAAAATTTGAATATGTGGCCGGATCTCGTCGAATGAGCCGCAACTTGAGAATTGTCACTATTCCTCAGCACTGCTTCCTTGTGTTTAGCATTTCGCGTCTTGAGAAGTCGTCCAGTTTCTCCGACGTAGTTGCTTTGTCCGCAACCTCGCCAGATCCTATAGACGACTCCAGATGTTTCTTGTTGTGGCAGAGGGTCTTTTAATTTCATTATTTTTACGCCTTATGGTTGCCTCCGGCCTGTGTGCGATTTGAACTCCAAGTGGTGCAAGAAGGCGGCCGACGGCCAACGTCAAGTGAAGTAGTATTTTAGACCGCCAAGAGTAACTCTAAAAATCCTGGATAAACAATGCGAAAGTTCGAAAATGTGAAGACTATCATCTAGACTGAAAAGGACAAATTCAGAGTGCAGAACATCACGGATAGATCGAAACGGTGGCGGTCGAGAACAACGAGGCCGA